AAGAACTTTCAATTATGCTGTTCACGTTTATCCATCTACTTCGTCCTAATACTACCAACTGTTACTGGCAAAGTAGCACTTCCAATGTGAGAAATTCTACGTCAGTTACCTACACACACACACGCCTATTGTGATTGGATAAGTGTACTTACTTAAATGGCTTCAATGAATAATTAAATAGTTGAACTGTCTATAAGACTGAGTTACTTCTTTACTAGAAAATTACATCTCAACTGGTTGGATAGTATAGACAGTGTTTCTTTGATTGTTTTCATGCATCATATACAATTACCAAAAAAACTTGGAGAATTTAATTTTAGAATCATACCTACTTATAAGTAGGCAAATTCCGTTAATAACTTTCATGTTTGATTTTATCTGTTCCACTCAATTTTCATACTATCTAAAAACAAATTTTTGTTACTTCTTACATTTTATTATTTTTTCTCGTATCAAAAGCACCAATTAACAGGTGGATGTAACAACCAAGTTTTGTAAAGTTTGCAAATGTACATTTGTGAGTAAACTTTGCTAATTTCCAATTAAATTAGTTTCCAGTTTTAGTAAAGAATCAATTACTTTTAGTAGCTCATCTTTAGACAATGAAGTTCAATCTGTCTCATGTTAGCTTGACTATAATTTTCTAAAAACCAACCAAAGATGTTACATTATTTGAAAGCGCCATCTAAGCACTTTTATAAAAATTCCCTGGAGTGTTGTTTGTTAACAACCATTTTTCAAACGTTTTTCCTATCATTTCCGCTTACATTATACTAAAACAAAAACAAAATCAGTGGTTTATTATTAAGGTTGTGATTTATTTTTTATTTTACCATAATTTAATGAGTTATCCACCTTTATTTGAACCATATTTCAATAATAAATTTCCCAGTTTATGCAATCTAAGCTCGTGAGTACAACTATTTTGGTGTATTATATCACTCCTAATCTATGCTTAACTAAATCTAGTAAGCTATGATGAGTGAGTTCATAACTTGATATAAGTTGCAATCAGTTGACTACATAGATAATTTTTAGTATTTCCTCAACCTAAAATATAATATACACTGGTAATGTTATTCCATTGTATCACTGACGTGGTGAGTGTAAAGCGAATTCCTCAGTGTCATACATAGATAGACAGTAAGCCAATCAGGAAATGTATCAATCTACAAAAGTCTCATCAATCGGTTTATCGGTTCATTATTGGACGAGAGTAGTCCAGTATGCTAATGGACATGTTTCTCTCATTGTGTCTACCTAAAAAAAATACCACAAACTTTGGAAATCCTTGACTGAATTAAGCTGTTAATCTGGTTGACAGAGAAAACCAACATATTGTGGCTTTCTATGATCTGAGAGAAATGGATTTAAACAGGTAATCTTCGATGAGAAAACATCCAGCTAGTCATTAATAAACCTCATGGAATTTTATGTATTGAGTGAATCAATAAAAGCTGAGGTTCTTTTAAATCCACATATTTAAAAAGTTAGCAACCATTTTTGATAAATCTAACACATAGTAAGAAGTATATTTAGCAATTAGTTTTAAGGACTTTCGGTTTATATCACTATTAGTAAAAACAAAAATTTTGTCCACCTGCATTCTCTCAATAATAATAATAATAATAAATAAAAGTAATAATCTAACATTATTTTTATTAGGCGCGTTTAGTTTCACTTACTGTCACCATTACTTCACACACTGTGACAGAATTTTTGATATTGTGATAAAAAAGCACAAATATGATTAATTTAAGATGAATTGCTACCATTTAGCTTAACCAAATTCCTAACAAAATTTGACTCAGTGAACAATAAGTGAGACAAAAATTAGAAATAACGACAAATCTAGCAGCGGACTTCTTGTGGTGCATAAGATCAATATCCACATCATCTACTACCATGTTAGCCTTGGTGAGCATCAGTCAACAATTATAATATTTTTGAATATAAAAAAAGGAGTCAAACAAGTGTGAATTTATCAGTCTTTTGGCTATATATTTCATTATCATGGAGAACTGATTCGAATAACCCATAAAGAGCAGATTCAAAGAGCTTCAACCGTTTTTGAATATTTAATAGTGTTCCAACAAAATCCTGACCCCCCAAGGATACTGATGACTCTTGGTTATCTGAGTTAATAACCTAGAAAACAGTCATAATTTTTAGAAAACTTTTTGGACTCAAGAAGGATCGTACTTATTTGTTTGCACGAAAACTTCTGAGAAGATAGATACTCTGGTGAGTTCTTGCAGTTTTGAGACTCAAAAGTCACAACCAGCTTTTTTTCTTCTGTAACTGAATTATTTCAGAATATCAGTCGCTCAGTTACTCTCTTCATCGAAAGTTTCGTCCATTAGAAGAATATGAGATCAACGTTGATCACATTTCTATTCAGTATCTAAAATATTTCATTAAACTGTTAATTTCTACTAACTGTTAAAAAAAGACTATTGTGAAATGTTGTATAAATGTTTCTGCTATGAACAATGAAATAAATGGTGAGTAGAGAGGTATATATTAAAACGACCCAATACTTTTCCATACTTTCATTAAGTATTGTATTTTTACCTCTGTAAAACATGTCCAAAGTTGTTTCATTTATCAGCTTATCATCTTTGGATATGGACATACCTATGTCCAGAAACACAGTATATAGAACTGGTTTACATGTTACTGAAAGATTTCTTGAATTTGTGAATCAGTGTTCCTAAAAGCTCTGGACAATTAATTGATGAGTTCTTATTCATCTATGAAATTACTTCAGTTTTATAAATGTGTTAGGAAGGATTCTTAAAACATACATCTTAGTGAACTTGCTTCAAATAAGCTTTCTTAGCCGCTTATTGTAAGTTGAAACCAGCCAAAACGTCAGCGTATTCCTAATTGGTCTGTGTTTCGAATCGCCAATCAGGAATAACCTTTAGCAATATTACTACTTTTCTCCGTAGGATGCAATTTTTCAATCTCATAATCACTAACCAAAGTTTAGTACTTTCCAAGTGTTAGAACTTCTGTCCGATACAAAACAATCGATTCACTAACACAGCTACTTACATTACATCAGGAATCGATTGTACGAAATGTCTAAGTTGTTACCATTTCCATTTATTCACTCATTCATAACATCAGGTTATCAGCTATTGATATAAAACTCGCTATCTACCAGCATCATTACCATTTAATTTTGGGTCTCGGTCTTTGGTTCTCTATATATAAACATATCTTGAGGTTATTCAGAGATTTTTAAAAATTAATTAGGTAAACCAATTTGGAAGGTGTTTGTTTTTGTCAAATAATTACTGAAATGACATTAAGTTTGATTTTCATTTTATTTCTGCATTATTTACCTAAAATAATAGGGATTATGAAGTTCATTTGTCAATGAAGCACGAACAAAATAGGTTTTCTACACATCCAGTAATGAATTGTATAAAAATAGTTTTTGCTGAAGTGTTTTCAAATATCCCTAGTCTCTTGATTCATCACAGCATTTAGGATTAGATGACATTTCTTTCTTTTCAGTTAGTATACTGATGTCTTATGTTATACTCTGACAGACTTTGCTAATAAAACTTTTACCACAAGTTTTATCGAAAGTAGTTCCGACACTGAAGAATTAGTTTTTTTGATAATAATATCAAGTTTAAGCCCACAAAAAATAACCTATTCTTTCCCTAAACCCATAGAGAAACTAAAAGTATTTACACACCAACCTAAATTAGATGATCGTATTGATAAGCATCAGTTTGTGCAATAAGTACTTCTGATGTTGCAGACATCTTGTATCGTAGTATAGTGTTTAGTTTAGAAATGTGGTAAAAATTATCAAAACATAATTTTTGACTAAACTTCTACCCTAGATTCTGTCCCATGAGCAAAGGTATTGAGGGAGTCTGCTCGTGTAAACAGAAGAAGCTGGATAACTGACAGTCTGTTCGTACTTTTCTGAAGGAAGACTGAATATTTTGGCCGAAGAAAATTCTCTTTTTCTTATATGAATAGGAGTTGATGTTGGTTGGATGATCTGACACTGATTAAAAAGCATTTGTTTGGCTTAGACAGGTTTTACCAAGTTGAAACTGAAATGAATAGGTCCTTACGGCACATTGAACGATGTTCTATTTTGAATAGTCAGGTACTTTAGTTGTCAGAATGTTAATATTCTGCTAGAAGTGGTTAACATTTCAGCTACTGAGGGACTCAAATGTGATTTTTCTTGGTGAAAGTTCTACCAATTTTGAAATTCTCATGACTAGTTCGTATCAAAAACTTTTTCATCCAACTTCTTAAATAGAGTCTACATGTTTGGAATTATTCCACGTATACTAATGCGATTTGTAAACGTCTGCATGCAGTTTATACTGTTACTTCCTAATTTTTCCGAACATTATCTTTTGTTGTACAAGAGTATTGAGGAATATTTTCAAGGTAAGTTCTAGATATTTCGACATAGTGATGAATACGGTTGTGGATGGTCATTTGAAGTCACCCATACACAAGCTCCGTAACAATGTGCTTGGTACATGCAATGTAACAATATAATAAAAACTGACCTGACCAAAACCCTTTGTTTTTCAATGTTTTTCATTACTATAAAGACACCTTACTGATTTTATTTAATTTTATGGATTTATTTTATGTATAGGTAAATTTTCTGAAATACGGATACAGTAAGACGGGCATCAGTTAAAAAATTCTATACTGAATACTATGCAACGGCACAGAGACAACCTTTATTTAGGAAAATATCTGAAAGACCAAATTTATCGACCACGATTTGAAAATTTTCAAGGTTATTTCCATTAATACCGATGTGGATATAAATCCTCGTCCCCATGAAATGTTAATACCAACCAATAGGATTTAAGAGATGAGGGTAGGAAAACTAATGCTTTTCTTATTGGTTGTATTGCCTACCTTTACCAAAAGGGAGGTATAAATTGACCAAAACGGTTAAGCGTAAATTTGACGTTCCTGTTCCGTCGTGATTAGTTATGCGCGAAATAGTTCACATTCAGGCTGGTCAGTGTGGGAACCAGATAGGTGCTAAGGTAATTGGAAGTATACATTGTATCTAATTTCCTTCAACTAATTAATCGATTCGTACCTAGTTTAAGTTCTCCATTTCATTTCCAGTTCTGGGAAGTAATATCAGACGAGCATGGTATCGATCCTACTGGAACATACCACGGTGATTCCGATCTACAACTTGAACGAATAAACGTTTATTACAATGAGGCCAGTGGAGGAAAGTATGTTCCTCGTGCTATCTTGGTTGATCTGGAGCCTGGTACGATGGACAGCGTCCGCGCAGGACCTTTTGGTCAACTGTTTCGTCCTGACAATTTCGTATTCGGTCAGAGTGGGGCAGGAAATAATTGGGCCAAAGGTCACTATACGGAAGGTGCTGAACTTGTCGACTCAGTTCTAGATGTGGTGAGAAAGGAAGCTGAGTCTTGTGATTGTTTACAAGGTTTCCAATTAACTCATTCACTTGGTGGTGGTACTGGCTCTGGTATGGGTACGCTATTAATTTCAAAGATTCGAGAAGAGTATCCTGATAGGATTATGAATACATTTTCTGTTGTTCCATCACCCAAAGTAAGTTGTATATCTCTTATAAATCAATAACTAAGTAAACTATCCAAGCTGCAAATGTAAAGCTTCAAAAAGATCTGTAACGTGTGACGAACAGCTTTTTATGAGACAACCTCTTACAATACTTTTCATATTTAGTTTGCAAACAAGTGCAAAAGTCAGACAGCTGCGTACATTATGAAGCTTGCTTAACGGTTTTGATTATGGAGCAGAATCTAAGGTAGTCTACAGCGTTCACCGTTTTGTCACGCATTTCTAGATTGGGCACTATATTATAATGCAACGAAATTGCAATATTTAGAGTACTGTTCAGTGACACTACTTTAATGTGCTGTATTAGTAGTTCTTAGCAGTTGATTATTTAAGGCTATCCCAAAATATACATGCGTTCCTTTGAACAAAGTACTAAGATTGTAAGAGAAACATTGATCTATTACATATGTTCATCTTGAAGCAGTAAAGTATTAGTAGTAGAATTTCACCACATTACGAGTGACATCTGACGTTTCATTCCAGAAGAAATTTGTAATTCCACCTGACTGGTTCGGTGCAGTATTGTAACCTCAAAAATGTGATCATAACATCAGCCTAGATGATTGTGTGTAGTTCCAGATGAATGATTTTAAAGTAAGATTTAATTTGCTTCATTTACAGGTCTCTGATACCGTTGTCGAACCATATAACGCGACATTGTCTGTTCATCAGTTGGTTGAAAACACAGATGAAACCTACTGTATTGACAATGAAGCACTTTACGATATATGTTTTAGAACATTAAAACTTACGACTCCAACATATGGGGATCTGAATCACTTGGTCAGTGCAACCATGTCCGGAGTAACCACCTGCCTCAGATTTCCTGGCCAACTGAATGCTGACTTGCGAAAACTGGCAGTAAACATGGTTCCATTCCCTCGACTACATTTCTTCATGCCAGGATTCGCTCCATTGACAAGTCGAGGTAGCCAACAATATCGCTCACTAACTGTACCTGAACTAACACAACAGATGTTCGATGCTAAGAATATGATGGCTGCCTGTGATCCTCGTCATGGACGTTATTTGACAGTGGCTGCCATCTTCCGTGGTCGTATGTCGATGAAGGAGGTGGATGAGCAGATGTTGAATGTGCAGAATAAGAATTCAAGTTACTTTGTTGAGTGGATTCCGAATAATGTGAAGACAGCAGTATGTGACATTCCTCCTCGTGGTTTGAAGATGTCAGTGACCTTTATTGGTAACAGTACGGCTATTCAAGAGTTGTTTAAGCGTGTTTCTGAGCAGTTTACTGCGATGTTCCGTCGTAAGGCGTTTTTACATTGGTACACAGGTGAAGGGATGGATGAGATGGAATTCACTGAGGCTGAGTCGAATATGAATGATTTGGTAAGTGAGTATCAGCAGTATCAGGATGCTACTGCCGACGACGAAGGTGAGTTTGAGGAAGATGTCGAGGAAGCCTAAATTATAACACGCTCCTCATAATGTTTCCTTGTGTCGTCACATTTCTAAATATAGTAATCGATTTGCATTACGTGTTTTCACTTTAAAATAGTTAGTCCCTTTTATAAAACTTGAAAGCACAGTGGGGAAAGGTAATTGTTTTCATTTTAGCTTCCGGTATAGCATACGCTCATGCGTTCTTTTTAATAATACCATACAGATGCAAGATGACTTGTTTATCATCAGAAACTAGATTAGTGGTACCCTTAGTGTAATTTGGTTTACATTTAATGAACGAAGGTTGAAAGCCGTCGGTTTTCTGTATACTCGTTCGGACTCTTGTTGGTTGTATGTTTCCTCAATGGGATCCCATCGGATTTCTGTTTCGTTTACTAGTTCTCGCAACAATATTTCACCGTGTTTCCTTATATTTAATTGACTGGATACTTTGAGCACCCGGGCTACTCCTGTACAAGTGTGTCGTGGGATGCAGTCGGTTGCAACGTGGGACTTGGCACGTACGTTCGTTCGTCAGTTCAAGTTGCCATATCACATTAACACAGGGATACAACTATCAGTCCGCATCCCACAGTAGTAGAGGAGTTATATTATTAGTGGTAATAAGAAGGATTAGTCATCAAAGATGCAATTCATGGAAATGTAAACCAGTCAAATAAATTTAGAAAAGAACCATCGTGATGAAACAAGAAGATCACTTCCTCACCCTGCACAGCTAATGCAAACGATTCGGATTCACGAAACGTGATTCCTGGTCTCCTCTAAACTACATGTTGGGGCTTTTAATGTCCGGACATCGCGTCAAATAGGGCAACAGGCTTCATTAGATAGGACATTACAATCTTGCACCATCGATGTATGCTGCGTCCCGGAAACGCGCATACAGTACCCGAGTACAGTGATTAACTGGACTTCACCTTGTCAGCATGAAGAACCAACTCGATTCACGCTCCATTTATCTGCAAGCCTCACTGTTTCTCCCCATGGCATCGTTCGTGTAGGTATAGCATTAATTTTTGAAGGTAGAACTAGCTCTCTTTTACTGGGTCCCAGTAGATTGTCGCTTTTCAACCTCCTCCAAAAGTAACTCGGTCTGATGTAGTAATAGTGGCTGGTGACTTGAATGCTCATGTAGGTAGACTGAACAAAAAAGAAAGACATAGGTGGATCTTAAGGTGTCATAGCTGAAAGAAAAGTTAATAGAGACTGTCTAATGCAACTGTGATCAGATAATCGCCTATTTCTAGCAAATACTAACTTTAGGCTCAAGGTAAACCATCTTTTGACATGGCGATCGCCAAAGTCAACTGAACCTTCGACACAATTAGACCACATCGCGGTCAGCCGAAGGTGGAGGGCTCGTTCTGTAGCACATGTTTAGATTCAAATGATGCTGTTGTACGAGCGCGTATTTTACTGTCTTACTAGATGTAGGAAAGATACCGCAAGGAAACCTACTAGGGTTCTACTTAATGATGATAAAGATAAGAATATATTTCAGGAACAACTTTAAAACCTTTAGGCAGCCATGTAAATGATTCCCATCCGGAGGCTGTTTGAAACGATATCCAAAAAGATGTGGAAACAGCAGTGATATATGCTAGTAAGGTAAACTATAGGGTTAGGGATAAACCGTGGATCTCGGTAGCATGCTCATAAATTGATCCTGTTCGGTTCTGAACAGGACGAAGAGCGAAGTCGGTTTAAGCGCAGGCTAATAAAAAGCCTACGCAATGGTCCCGAACAGTGGCGGGTAGCGAAAGCAAGAGCGATGATAGGCAACCCTAAACAACTGTTCCGCCTTATCAAGGAAACCGATATTAGAAATTCATCTGTTAGCGAAACTATCTCAGAAAAGGATGGCTGTATCATTCATTCTAAATCCAGGAGATTGGATCGATGGGCTGAACACTTCAGGGATCAGTTCAACTAGCAGTCAGCCACACTCCGGTTGCACACGTTCTCCAGTCAACCTGAACAGCAGATCGACGTAAGTCCTCCAAATCTTTAGAAAGTTGAGAAAGCGATAGGAAATCTTAAGCGAGGGCGAGCAGCAGGACCTGATAGATTGACCTCTGAAATTTTTACGGATAGTGGTCCAGTTTCAACAGTTAGATTGACCGAGATCTTAGGTAGGATTCAGGAACTGGACGTAATCCCATCCGACTGGTCACAATCCCTAATTGTCCTAGTATTTAAGAGGGGACAAAAGTCCTCTGGAGACAATCACAGAGGAATCAGTTCAACTAATATACTGTGTAAATTGTTAGCCTCGATAACACTTAGACGCCTAACCAGAGCTCGTGAAGGGCAGAATCGAGAGAATCAGGTTGATTTCACACCTCGACATGACTTTATAGACCAAATAATCACAATACGACAGGTGCTAGAACACAGACAAATATTTAGGCGTCCCACTATAGCTGTCTTCCTGCACCTTAAATCAGCATTTGACTCCGTTAATCGAGAGGTTCTGTGGCAGTATCTGTCATGAAAAGGTGTACAAGAGAAGTACATTAACCTTATACAAGTTCTCCACTTGAACACTACTTGTCGAGTTAGAGCTTATCGCGAACTGTCATCGAAATTGGTTACTTCAAGTAGTGATCGTCAAAGTTGCCCACTTTCTGAATTCTTGATTAACTTTGTCGTAGACATGCTTTCAGAGATAACAATTCCCTCGTCTTAGATTTCAGGAGTTGGACTTTTACTAGAAAATTCGCTTGTTGACTTAGAATACGCCAATGACATAATACTGTTCGGTGAAGACGCTGACAAAATGCAGTCTTCTGACTACCCTAAGAAACAATGCAAGCATGTTCGGGATGCGGTTTTCCCCCTCGAAATGCAAAATGTTGCTTCAAGATTGGGTTTCATCGGCACCTGAACTAGTGATAGGGAGTGAAGTAGTCGAACGTGTAGACCGCTTCACTTATCTGTCGATTCTCATTAGTGCTGATGGCCTAGTCTGTGACGAAATCTCAGCACGGATACAGAAGGCTCGATTCGCTTTTGCCAACCTGTGTCACTTATGCCGAAGGTGAGATATCCGTTCGCTTACCAAAGGGCGAGTTTACTGCGCAGTAGTGTGCTCCGGCCTACTATATGGCTGTGAAACATGACCTGTAAGAGTAGAGGATATTCCGGAGTTACTAGTATTCGATCATAGGTGCCTCCGAAGCATCACTCGTATATCCTGGGACAGACAGACACAACGCAGAACTTCGTACGTACGTACATCAGTTCAGGTTGCCATGCCCCATCAACAGAGACGCAACTGTCCAGTCCACTTCTCAGTGACTTCATGCATTTGTGCCATGTTTTGGTTTGGCCGCCCCTAGCTTTCTTCCAACCTACTCCTACACCACAAAACATAGCTCGTCGAGGCAGTCGGTGGTTAGCCATACGTAACATGTCCTAACCACCTCAACTGATGAAGTTTCACTACTTCGTCTATTGATTTGCCGTCCCTACCTAGAACTCGTTTCCTAACGACAGCACTGCGTATACGGTTGTCCCATGATACACGAGCAATAATTCGGAGATATCTCTGATCGAAGACTAGTAACCTACGGAAGTCCTCTACTCTTAAGGGCCAAGTCTCGCATCCGTACAGTAGGATAGAGTGAACTGCTGCACAGTACACTCTTCCTTTAGTGAGCAAACGGATATCTCGCCTGCGCCATAGGTGACGCAGGTTGGCAAAAGCTAATCGAGTCTTCTGTATCCGAGCTGCGATTTCGTCAGTCACCAGGCCATCAGCACTGATCAGACTCCCCAGATACGTGAAGCGGTCTACACGTTCGACTACTTCACTCCCTATCACTAGTTCAGGTGCCAATGCAACCCAGTCTTGAAGCAACATTTTGCATTTCGAGGGGGAAAACCGCATCCCGAACATGCTTGCATTGTTGCTTAGGGTGGTCAGAAGACTCTGCATTTTGTCAGCGTCTTCACCAAGTAGGACTATGTCATCGGCATATTCTAAGTCAACAAGCGAGCCACCTAGTAGAAGGTCTACTCCTGAAAATTCAGACGAGGATAAGGTTATTTCTAGCAGCATGTCTATCATAAAATTAAACAAAAATGGAGAGAGTGGACATTCCTGATGGACACCACTTGAAGTAAAGAATTCCGGTAGCACCTCGCCATAGGTTCTCACTCGACCACTGGTGATCGAATGGAGAGCTAGTAAAAGGTTAATGTAATTCTCTGGCACACCTTTCAATGATAGACACTGCCACAGAACCTCACGATCCACTGAGTCAAATGCCCCCTTAAGGTCCAGGAAGACAACTATTGTAGGACGCCTAAATGTGTGTGTGTCCCAGGACCTGTCGTTGTGTGAAAATGTGGTCTATATAACCACGTCCAGGTCGAAAACCAGATTGGTTCTCTCGAGTCTGCTCTTCACGAGCTCTCCTTAGGCGTCTAAGTATAATCGAGGCTAACAATTTAGAAACTATATTAGTTAGACTTATTCCCCTGTGATTGTCACAAGAGGACTTCTGTCCTTTCTTGTAGATTGGGACAATCAAGGATTGAGACCAGTCGGATGGGATTACGTCCAGTTCCCAGATTCTACCTAAGATCTCAGTCAACCTAGCTGCTATAACTGGACCACCATCCTTAAATATGTTAGGGGTCAGTCTATCAGGACCTGCAGCTCGCCCTCGCCTCAGATTTCCTAACGTTTTCTCAACTTCGTAAAGCCTAGGGGGACTTACGTCGATTTGCCATTCAGGATGACTGGGGATCGTGGGTAACCGAAGAGTGGGTCGAGGCCAGTTGAACTGATTCCTAAAGTGTTCTGCCCATCGATCCAGTCTCCTGGGATGTGAATAAATAATAGTCCCATCCTTTTCCGAGACAGTCTGACTTACACTATGATTCCTAATACCAGTTACCTTGATAAGTCGGAAAAGTTGTCTACTGTTGCCTATAGCCGCTGCTTTTTCCATTGCTTTTGCTTTCGCCACCCACCACTGTTCACGGTCGTTGCGCAGGCTTTTTATCAGCCTGCGCTTAAGTTGACTAACTTCCTCATCACGTTCAGAGCCAGGTGGGATGAGTTTTCGGGCATCCATCAGTTTGGCGGATGCTACAGAGATCCATGGCTTCGTTCTAGCCTTATGGTTAACCTTACTAGCAGATATCACTGCTGTTTCCACAGCTTTCTTGATATCATTCCAACCTGCCTCCGGATGGGAATTGCCTAAGTGGTCGCCTGTCTTTCTAGTTGTTCCTGGAATATATTCTTCGCCTTATTATCACTAAGTAAAACCCTAAGAGGCTTTCTTACGGTGTCTTTCCTAAGCCCAGTAAGCCTCAAACAAATACGAGCTCGCACTAGGGCATGATCTGAATCTAAACATGTACCACTGAACGAGCGACAGTCCTCTATCCATCGGTGGCTGATGGTAATGTGATCTAGTTGGGTCCAATGTTGAGACGACTTCGGGGTCGCTAGGTCAAAAAGTGCTTTACCTGATGCCTAAAGTTGGTGTTTACTATAAATAGGCGGTTATCTAAGCATACTTGCAACAGACGGTCACCATTGTCTGTTCTCGGAGCCGCGACACCATAACATCCACCTAGGTGTCTCTCCTGCTCACTTAGTCTACCTACTTGAGGTCTGAAGTCACCAGCCATTAATACTATATCAGGTAGGTAGGTATGTGTGGGTGTAGGAAGGATTTGATTTTGAGCAGTTCGGTCTCGTGTGGTGTTACGGGTATGAGGGCGGTTGTCACTTCCCAGCTGCCCACACCGTGGAAGGTTGTTTCTTGAGGGACCTGAAAAGGAAGATAGATTAGTGTTTGGTCTTAGAGACCTGGGCGCGTGACCGCAGAGTCCAAGGGACAACTGCTTGAGGCCGGTCACGCACGGCCTGTTTATGAAAGGAATTTTGAGGATTAGCTCAGCACTTAAAAGCCCTTAGTGGGCACCCTTACCCAAGGAGACGGAAATCCGTGAGGTAGTGTAAGGTGTGACATTTTTTGGGTCGACCTTTCCTAACCCTTCCTTCCTTGTGAGATGGAAGCATCGCTGCAGATGCTGGTTGTCCGAGGGAAACACCTTACTGCTCTGATACCCCTCTGCAGTCAGCAGTACGACTTCGCCCTCAGACCTTGGGTAGCTGCTTTTAGTCTCATCGTTCTCCAATCGACCAGCCTGGCATGGTAGAACCTTCAGGAACATATGTTTCAGCCAGTATAGCTCGGCTGGGTCATCACGATAGGCAAGCCCGACCACCACGTCAAGGTAGCAGCTACGGTCGGGATCCTGGGACAGCGGAATAAGCAATGCCGTCTTGGGAAATGGTTACTAGGCAGGGATGGATGAAGTAGTGGAACTTCATCAGTTGAAGTGTCTGAGACATATGTTACGTATGCCCAACCACCGACTGCCTCGACTAGCTATGCTTTGTGGTGTAGGAGTAGGTTGGAAGAAGGCCAAACCAAAACATGGCAGAAATCCATGAAATCACTGACATGTGGACTGAGTCATGTTGGTAGATACAGACTACCTGGTTGGGGCCTGAGACATAATAGTAACCTATGGTTGGAGACCCTGAATGACACGGCTCAAAACTGTTAGCAATGGTGCAGGTGCATCTATTTTTTGTGTTACCTCAAATTCTAACCTTTCGAATTCCTCATCATGTCTACCTTTCTCTTCTAAAGTTATCTCACTGAAATATACTTCTTGAATAATTTCTTCGAACCCTAATCTTCTTCATTACCAGAATACTTCTACTATCTAACACTATGAGATTTGAACTGACAGTTGCGTCTCTGTGCTAACGCGGTATAGCAACCTGAACTAATGTACGTATGTACGAAGTTCTACGTTGTTACTGACTGACCGTAGTCATTAATAGACCACTTTAACATTAAAGAGAGATGAAATATTCTGATTACCCACTAAGCAGACATTAGTCACAATGATATTAAGTCTGTCTCTATTGAGTCACGTTTTGGGCATTGACGAATGGACACATTGACTTTATTCATTTTAAACATGAAATTTTCGTAGTAAACGGAAATGCTCGTGAAGACATTTCAGTTTAAGGAAGATAGGTGTTTAAGATGGTGGAGAAAACTTGTAGCTCAGGTGGGTGATTGTGGTGGTGTTTCGTTCTCTTTTTTTGGCTGTTACGTCGAAGGAACGAAACACCACCACAGATAGGTGTTTAATATATGATAAGTTAACGGAATTAATCGTTGGGACTAACACCAAATGACACGTGAAGCAACATTTTATTTATAATTCAGAGAATTATTGACACAGTTAATTGATATTCTAACACAAGATTAACAAGGAATTTAAATATTAGGGAAAAAAGATATCTACGTAAAATGGTAGTTACGAAAGGAAATCTTAAAATTGATATCAATGATTCAGATGAGTAGAACTTTTAATCATCACTTGAACTTGATTATAAAGAAAAAGTAATTTTTGAAAAATTTTAACGAGTTTAAATTATAAATTGATCCAAACTTATATAAGGTAATTAATAAGTCAAAAATGATTATGCTAAGAACGCACTTTAGGCGTGGAATAATTTTTCAAAAAAATGGCATATTTAAGTCATAATATATTGATATAAGAGTCAATTTTGGTACGATGACGCTGGGAAACGCATTCCGCAATCCAAACAATGTTTCTCATTTCCTGTTCCTTCAATTTAAGAAGTGCGTAAAATATACCATAGTGGAACTGCTGTAAAAAGGCATCTACATTCAATTGGACCTAAAATTGAAGTCATTTAGGAAATGTAATGTACATATTAGCAAACAAAGAACTTTAGATTCGGAAAACCTGACGAAATTCTGATCATTTAATCAGATCAGCGGAGTGAAGTATTGAAGACATTTTATCAATCGGGTTATCGTTTAGCACGATGTAGTGTCATAAACGAACTAATACACAAACGTCACATTCAATACTGTTTTCATCTGTTAAAATAAAAATTGTAGATTGCGTTGATGTTGAACACTTGCTAATAATGCAATCAGTAATTACCTGTCAAAGTTAAGAGATGACTATCAATTTACTCAACTAAATCTTTCAAATAATAGGTTTCTACTGAAAGAATTCAGAACTTGAACATAACGCTAAAACGTTCTTGGTAGTTTTATACTGCTTAAAAGTGTGGTGTAGTGCAACAAAGCTTGAATCTATTGATTCATCTGAAGAATACTCAGTAAAATTTGGTTTATGAATGACTTTTTCTTTCACATATATGTGACACATTCATTAAAAATACATGGACACTTTATCCAGGTGAAATCGTAATTTTATTTGTGTATTGAATTCTATTGCATGCAGTTTTTTTCAGACAGTACCAGTCAGTGAATATAAAAAAGAAATGATCATATATTTCTTAAGATAACATTAATATACCGTATCAGATGAATTTGTATGTCCACATAACGTAAATTTTATAGATGAACTTATTTGGATGTATGAAAATTCTAGAACGGCGAATCAAGAGACAGAACTCAGCTTATCCTTTTTTGCAATAGCTGTCGACTACCTGGTTGATGCCTGCGACATGATAGTAACCTATGGTTAGAGACCTTGAATGACATGGCTCAAAACTGTTAGCAATGGTGCAGGTGCGTCTATTCTTTGTGTTCTCTCGAATCCTAACCTTCTGAGATCCTCAGCACCTTCATCTTTTCCTTTTCGAAATTTGTATCACCAAAACCTGCTTCTTAAATAATATCTTTGAACCATAATCTCCCTGATTACTGCTAATACTTCTACTACCTCTACCACTTGACAATCGCTTCTCTGTGTTAATGTAGTATGGCAACCTGAACTAATGTATGTACGTACAAAGTTTTACGTTGTAGCTGACTGATTGACTGAAATATACATACCATATATAACCCACCAGAAAAACTGAGATAACTAATTATATCTTACCTCATATTCAAAGAATTTATCTTCTAATGTTTTATCTCCGAAACCTTCACCAGTTTCTTCAAACAAAGAGGCATAGTTCTGAAAAACAAGTAGGAGTAGTAACGTCATCCATAAAAGTGTGGTGGGAAAACTGTTACGAAATACATGGCAGTATCGAGTTAATGAATTATGTAAGATAACTTTATATCATTTGAATATGATTCAAAACAGCAGTTCTGAAACATTTCGAGTCATTCAGTTCTTTTTATAGCAGTTTGTTACAAATCTCTTTCGCATTCGAGGTTTTCTGAGTACTGATTATGGTATGGAGCATGAAATTAATCTCAGTGATGAAAACTAGTTAGGCTAATGTCAAATAAACTTAAGCACACAAACATTGGTACCGTGTGAGACTATACGCCACACGATGAAAATAAGGTTGCAGAATCAAAAGGTAAGTATAACGAAAAATGAATAAAAAAGCAGCATGTGAGGGTGGAGCAATAATAATAGTGTTGATAATAATAATAATAATAATATCAACCAGTACAAAATGAAGATAGTTGGTGGATTGTACTCTCATATTTACATCTATACACGTAAATCCACTTCATGTAATTAGATTCTAGAACCAGATCTTCGAGAATATATAGAATGGAAAGCAATCTTTGGGGATTTATACGGTTATAGTGCTCAACTAAAAGGCATGAAGCCTATGTCAGCTAAATTTCAATTGGTACTCTACTCGGGGACGTCTAACAGTGCTTTTTCAAAGATTTATAAACCATAGAGACAGTGCTTACTGTGGGTTGAAGGTAGGTTCAACCCCTAATACAAAACAATTTACTGTTATATTTATTTGCGACAAACCCTATTGCTGTCCCGGTTGTGTATAATTATGAATAGCTTTCCACATGTCTGACGTTAAGGTGAATTATCTGACATTACGAATCGATTTTAGTGAGAGCGAATTTAATGTATTCAAGAATATAAAAAAACGTGCTAAATTATTGCTAAGTATCTGAGTTTGGTAAAACTCCAAACTGAGTAAAGTGCTCACATGATTCTCTTGCATGGGCAAAGAGCATTGCAGCTGACAAATTCAGTTTCAGCACATTGTCTTATATAATGATAACCAATGGAAATGAAACCTCTGGCTTGACTGAGTTAGCACTGATTAGTAGTCTGAACGTAAGACTTACAACGAAAACAATGTCTCGGCATCGAGAGATGATCTTTAGCCTTATGAAAATGACAAAACAAGAAGTGAATAAAAGCTTTAATGCACAGACACGAAACATCATCATCATCAACAGCAACGTAGAACTTTACAAGTGAATACAGTAGTTCAAGTTGCCATACCACGTTAGCACAGAGATATAATTGTCAATTCAAATCCCATAGTAGTAGAGGTTGTAAAAGTATTGGAAGTAATCGGGCACGAAACGTTTCGACACGATTCATAAAAGCCGTCCCGGACGCAGCTACCAGTTAGATGAGGTGGTCAAGCTTGCCTATCGTGATGACCCAGCCGAGCTATATGGGTTGGAACTTAGGTTTCTGTAGGTTCTACCATGCCAGGCAGGTCAGTTGGAGAACGATGAGACCAAAAGTAGCTACTAAAGGTCTGAGGGCGAAGTCGTATTGCTGACAGTAGAGGGGTATCAGAGCAGTAACGTGTTTCCCTCGGACAGCTAGCATATGCAGAGGTACTGCCTTCTCACAGGGGAGGAAGGCATTAGAAAAGACCGACCCTAAAAATGTCACACCTCACCTTACCTCACGGATTTCCGTCTCCCGCGGTAGAGCCTTTAAAGATAGGGACACTCGCCACTGCCTCTTCGTCGTATCTGCCTACACTCCCACTGACTGCAGTTCAGAAGAGGTGAAAGATGACTTTTAAAGAAAGCTTTGGGACCTCTTCCAAAAGGTTAGGCACTCTGACTTCAATACTCAAGTAGGTAGACTAAGTGAAAACGAAAGACATCTGGGTAGATCTTATGATGTTGCGGCTAATAGAACAGATAATGGCGACCGTCTTCTGCAGATATGCTCAGATAACCGCCTATTTTTAACAAACAAACTTTAGGCATAAGGAGAAACATCTCTTGACCTGGCGACCCCTAAAAGCCGGCACAACGATGGGCCCAACTAGATCACATGGCCATCAGCCCCCCAATGGAGGGGTTCGATAGAGCACTTTCGACCGTTCTGGAGCACTTGTTTAGAATCCTACCATGCTCTAGTGCGGGCGCGTATGTTGGCGTCTCCCTGGACGCAAAAAAAATATCGCATGGAAACCTCTTAGGGCTTTACTAAATGATAATAAAGATAAGAATATATTTCAGGAACAACTAGAAAAGCAGTTATGCAACTGCTCCTGAACTAGAGATAGGGAGTGAAGTGGTTGAGCGTGTTGACCGCTCCATTCCGTCCAACATTTTAGCTGCGAAAATTTGTCAGTCGGTTTGTAAGTTGCTGGTTCTTGATCATAGGTGCCTCCGAAGCATTGCTAGTGTATCATGGAACAACCAAGTAAGCAATGCTGTTGTTAGGAAACGGGTACTGGGTAAGGATGGCAGGTCAGTAGGCGAGGTATTGAAACTTCATCAGTTGAGGTATTTGGGACATGTGCTACGTATGCCTAACGATCAACTGACTAGTCAAGATATGTTTTGCGATACAGGAGTAGGTTGACGAAAGCTAGGGGCAGTCAAACCAAAACATGACAGAAATCCTTGAAATCACTGACATGTGGGCTGAGTCATGTTGGTAGATATAGACTACCTGGTTGGGGCCTGCGACATGATAGTAACCTATGGTTAGAGACCTTGAATGACATGGCTCAAAACTGTTAGCAATGGTGCAGGTGCATCCATTCTTTGTGTTCTCCCAAATCCTAACCTTCTGAGGTCCTCATCACCTTTATCTTTTCCTTTTCAAAATCTATATCATCATATCCTGCTTCATAAATAATATCTTTGAACCATAATCTCTCTGATTACTGCTAATACTTCTACTACCTCTAGTACTATGGGATTGGAACTGTCAATTGCATCTCTGTGCTTATATGGTATGGCAACTTGAAATGATGTATGTACATACGAACTTCTACGTTGTAACTGGATGACTGACCTAAAATCTATTTATGATTAAATTCAAGACGGAGAAGTGGTTGAAGTATGAATTTAAGATTGAGGTTAAGTTTAACGATAAAAACATGTTTAGCAAACCAGAAGCGTTTCTGACACTTAAAAAACATGGAGCAACTGGGTTACTCTACAACCCCGAAACTAATTAGTAAAGATTTGTCATAAAGATGTAAAAGTTATTTGTACGGCCTGGACTAATCTGAAGAAATGAACTAAGTTTTAAACAAATCTCCTGTACTAAACGTAGTTTGCTCGTGAAGTGTAAAAAAGTCGAGTCAAGGACTTACAGAATAGTATCTTGCGACGGATTTTACTTGTTCGTAATCGTTAGCTTTAGCAAGTTGGACAAGCCCCTCCGGATTGAGTTTTCCGCAGCGAGGATAAAGTTTGGACCTATCTTCGTTTGAAAGTTCTGTCCCGAATGAATTGATTGTTATGATGAACGCCCTTCTGTCAGCTTCAAAAGCCAATAACTCACACATCACCTCGGCAGTAATGCCACCCAATGACTTACAGAAGGCATAAAAATCTTCAATATATGCCTAAGCAATCAGAACATATACGAAAAGCTTAACATACCCTGTACAAAGTGTTACGTATAATCTCGATATTTAATTCATCTAAATCTTGCTCCGAAATACAATCAATGAAGAATGGAGCTAGAAAAATAAAACTAGAATCAGAATGCTACCCAAAGGCGTGTCCACGAGCACCGCATTGTATAATTCAGCAGGGTTAGTAGCAATATTAAGGGTCTCCATTTCCAGAAATGTTCCAAGAGGGTGGCACTTAGTCATAAGTTCCGATATTGGCCTACCATGGAGAGTTCCCGTTATAAGAAGCACAATATTATCAATCATGTAGCTGTATGTGATGTAATCCAAGAATAAAGATAATGGGTACACAGCTTGGTTGCGTATGTGACGGAACTCAGAGACAAACTTCTCACGAATCCTCTCCTCTATTATCCCTACGGTCAAAGGTCCGGGCTCATTGGCTAGAAACTCCCCATAGTCAGTGTCATGTAAATGGAGCTTTAGATCTTATTAGGAATTAGAGTACAACAGAATTGACAAATCCCTACCATCCAAAGTTTCACACTGCACCAGAACGTGATAATCTGCTTGCCTAAGAAGTCCTCCTTTAATCCCACGTGCTAAGCCCTCCAAATAGCCACTATCTGCATTGAAGTTAATCAAAGAAATCGGTAAAACATCCGTCATCATAAAGCCGCCAAAACCTCAACTATCAATGTCTCCCGCCTTTGAATGACAGCGTACCGTCAAAGGATATTGTCATCGTTGGAAATTGAACAGCATCAACTTTGTAGATTTCATATACTACTGTTGATTCATAAATAACATAAAATACGAGTAAGCTATAAACATTGTGGACAACAACTAGTGGTATACAGACATTAAAAAACATTTAGAGCAGAGGTTTCTGCTCAGTCTATTTAATTCACGGTTCCCTGTTACCGAATACAATTTGGGGTACTGTGTATCCACCTAAATTAAATTATTGTAATATCGGCCAAAAACAAAATCTTTTTTTATGAATGAGATAGGTGCAACCTACTTTTCAGAGTTGAGCTCTTATCAACAATCGCAAATATTTCAAATGGGTTTGGACGGAATAGAAGAAATTTTTGATTATCGGGCTTCCGTATTTAGTAGACATGGATAACCGATACCTCCAAGTAGAGGTCTGGGCATATTTACTGAAAGTGTAAAGTACGCCGAGGAACTATTCTGATATGTTGTGCCTCTAGCTCCCTGGTATTTCCCACCAATTTTGTTTTGGAATTGCGCTTAGGGGAGAATATTAGGGTGTGCCTTAGAATGTAAACAATCAAATAGATCAATAGAAAGTCGCCTTTGGAACGTCTATACTCCGACGGGAAAAGATCCAGTGAATTGAGATGCACTTCCTAAGGTATGCATCTGAGTCCTCGAACTGATTTCGTAGTTCACCTTCTGATATCTTTGGGCATTGTCTTTTCATTTAGGAGTGCTGGAACATTGTGTTTCCAGACTCTGAATAGGACCGAATAAGGCTAACAGAATAGGCGGAATGTCCTTCTGTCAGGCTGTGCAAAATTCAGCTTTAACATCACCAGTACAAGGTATAGTGGTCACGCATTTTTGTCACAATTAGTGTAAGACTATAGACCGTAGGGTATCAAGACTCTTGGATTAAATTCAACTTGAGACACCTCTAGATGGAAGTTGCCCAAGTTGTATGCAGTCTGAAATATGAATGATGGAAATAGCTTACACAAAACACTGCATTCACATCACATAGTCTCTGTAAAATCCCTGTAAACGAAGCCCACACACTAAAGAAACTATAAGCTACCGTGGATGTCCGAGGGAGTCAGTCTGTTACAACGTAGAACTTTGTACGTATATCCGTATGTACATAAGTTCAGGTTACTATACCACATTAGCACATAGACGTAATTGTCCCTTCAAATCCCATTGTGGCAGAGACAGTAGAAGTATTAGTAGTAATTAAGATTAGGGTTCGAAGATGTTGTTCAGGAAGTATAATTCAGTGACAACTTTAGAAAGACAATCATGAGGAATTTCGGTTAGAACTTTAGATATGACAAAGAGTGGATGCACCTGCAATATCGCAAACGAGTTTGAGCCACATCCTTCAAGGTCTCTAACCATTGGTGATCTTTGTCTCGCGGACCCCAACCAGATAGCCTGAGGTAATCAAGCAACAGACTCATTATCATCTTACCGAATGTACAGTGTTTTTGGACTGATCATCTAAAGAAGAGGCGGTCTCTATTTCCATACTATACAGTAGTTTGGATCTAATTAAGATTTCTGGATTAAACTCATAACTTTCCCACAGAAAGCATCACACTTTAATGGCATTAATTTGAGGCCCATTGATCAGAATTTGGTCGAATCACGAAAAAGCCCAAAAGTCATCCAACTTTTTTTGGGTGGCTACATAACTCATGATGCGGAATTTCGAAAGATAGGTCTAGAAAATTGGAAGCTTAATGGTGGATTACTGTTGTGGCTTATGAAGAATCTTTTGCCAATCCCTCGTTATCGTTAGTTTGACTATACAAAACTCCTTACCTCAGTAACCGAGGATGCTCAGTAAATTGTAGAGACTTTTAGAAAGAATTGAGTGCGTACCGGCTACCGAAACCTAAAGAAAGTACAACGTTTGAGAACATCGAAAAACTTATATAATTAAAGAAATAAGTACATCTCACCTTCTGAATGATCATTAGTAGCTAGATACTGGCAAAGGGGAAGAAGGATTAACTGACATAACCTGGTGTTCGAAAAAGATAATTAGAACATCCATTCATAGATATATGCTTCCGTATTTCACGTAGGCATCATATCCACCATCTTTACTAGCTGAATTATGGAGAGCTCTGATATTCTTTTATCGAAAGCCGACCTGTTTCATTTGCTCCCTAATGTAATCGATAAAAATCTTAACCATATAACTAAATAGGTTTTCTAATCTAAGCCATATAATGGAGGCATATTATTAGGTGTCGGTTGACTCTTTCGAAACAGCACAAATTAAGATGTCTTCTCTTGTGAAATCAGGTCTCAGTCGATGCGATCGCAGTCGGACTTCTGAACCGAGACACCGATACCATCTACAAGTTATGGTTCCGTTCATCTGTTCAATTATTACTACTTTCGGGGTGGGCGTTATAAATCTATATCCTCTTGCATCGTTCTATTTGATGTAAACCAGAAAGAGAAAAACTCTATCGAGAAAACTTTCCTCCCCGAATTTCCTAATTCCTTCATTACATTATTCTGTAGTTTACTGTAGCATTTCGGGTTTTAATGGAAATTGTTAAGTGGGAAAACCTTGGTCAAGTGTCATATTCAGATCCAGACGCAACCACGCCAAGAAGTCTTCAAATTATTTAAGATAGTTATTAAATTTGTTAAACACGGCCGATAAAATTACAGCAAACGATTATTTCAGTAACTCTAGACATCAAAGACAGTAAATTCACATTCTGAGAGACTTAAAATATCAACACATTTCTCGCCGACCATATTCCATACGTCAGTATGATCCCTGTCAATGTATACGATAAAGTGGTACTACTGATCATCATTTGATGAAATTGAAATTCAAAAATTTGGCATTAAATCTACATGCAGGCATTCTGTGATAAACTACATGATTGAAGATTAGTTTTATGCAGAAAAATCCCAGACATCATTGAACGAAACTGTCAGTGGATGCAGTGTCGTGTCCCATCTTTACCATTTCTGAAAACTCAAAAACTATTAAGAAGGTTAAAGGGAGGTTTTCCATGAAAGATTACTTTTCAAAAACGTGAAATATCTCGATGATACTTTTTATACAACGTGAACTCTAAAGATACTGGGCAAACTCATGTAGTAATTCCAACCAAAAAAATGATACAGAAACACTCCATATTTGTATGCAACGGTGAAAGCTATCGTCAGTTATAGTAGGCACCTGTTACATGCCACTAATATATTGACGTGATTGAGTGATAAGTAGCCTTTCTTCAGAGAATTATTGAAAGACAAAGTCCAGAGTGCATCGAATAGATAGACTTCCAAAGATCAAATAAATATTTGTCACTTGTTCACCTAGCTACTGAATTTAGATAGCCACTGACTCATGCAATGAGAGCGGAATTTAGTTCAGTGTGAAATATTCGGATTATCCCGTTGTTGATGTTTTTGTCAAAACTACGGCACCAACTTGAAGTATTTTAATTGGGCTATTGTGTAGCTGTAAATCGTTTCGTTTCATCAAATATTTAATAACATTCATTGGAAAAGGTCCATGTTCCTCGTCCGGTGTAATTGCTTTCCTCACTCTTCAAGAGAAATTTAGAGCAAGAGTGAATTTTTCACTGAGTGAATCTGCTGAGTTTAAGTTACTATAAAAATTAGTGTATTAGTTTTCAATATGTATTCGGATTTACAGTTTTTTAGATTACATTTTACTAAGGAATCTAAAAATGATAGCCCACCGTCTTGGTAAGTAAAATTAACCTGGTTTGGGATCGTATTGATCAGTTTAGAGAAAGTTCTTCGGATGTCTTCTCAACGATGAAAAAAGTATCGTCCACACATCTGGGACGAATTATTGTGTTAAAGTAATTATTGGTTATGATCACACACTCACGTGCATCGATCGTTTCACAAGACGGCCCGAAGCTATTACCATCACTTCTATTACGGCGGAAACAGTTGCTCACCGCTTCGTAGAACGATGGATAGCGCTGTACGGTTGTCCCTCAACTGTCACAACTGACCGAGGACAACAGTTCGAGTCCAAATTATTCTCCTCGCTAACCTGGCTGCTTGATACGGAGCGCATGCGCACTACCACCTATCACGCAGCTTCAGATGGTTTAGTTGAACGGCTTCACCACCAACTTAAATGTGCTCTTGAAGCACTCAAGAACAACAACTGGTATGAAACCTTACCACTCGTCCTCTCAGGTATCGAAACGAGCTTAAAGGCAGATATTCAATGTTCTGCCGCTGAATTGGTATACGGCACGACATTGCGTCTGCCTGGAGAATTTTTCACACCATGGAGCTGTGATAACTTCAATAAATCAAACTACATCTAACGATTGTCTAAATTTATGCGAACACTGACTCCGATATCAACTCGAGTACAACGTCGACAGGTCTCTCTGCTTCGCGAGTTATCTACCTGTTCTCATGTTTTCATACGAGTCGATTCGGTACGCAAACCTCTGCAACAATCTTACAAAGGACCTGTTCATGTGATTTCTCGCCATTAAAAGACCTTCAAGGTTGCTGGATATGTCCGTATCGAGATCATCAGCATTGATCATCTCAGGCCAACACACGTCGATAACAGTGCCCCACATGATAATCCGAGACCTAATGCTAGACATATCAAATCTACTAGCTGAATCCTTAAAGCTACTTGTTACGGGAGAAACGAAGACATTTTGCTGATCAAAACCTTCATGTATAAATATCATTAATTTCACTGTTTTGGGGTACATTTGTTTTACTTAACTTGTGAACTTGTTTGAATTATTATTTGCGGACATTTTGGACTCCCGTTTCTCTTTGTTGTTCGTTTGCAGTTTTTTGCTCCAAGAGCTAATAAATTAGAAGGTAATTGTAATTATTATAATTATTGTTGTTAGAACGACATTGGTCGTCTATTTGTAATTCAGTATTTTGGTGGAATTTGTGATTTGGAATAAACTTTGGTATCTACTTTGGAGTTTCGTTCTTGGTTTAGAAATTTGGGACCGTGAATTACA